GCGTCCCTATCTATCTATAAAATAGAGTAAATATAAATATATATATACATGAGTGTAGCCAACTCCTTAATTTCGCATTATAAAATTAACACACTGATTCTGACTGTCCATGTAGTTATATATGCCAATGCATACATGTTTTTGTTATACAAGTATGAGCCTAATACCATGTTTCCACAGCTTACTTAGTAAGTTACTTAACTAGATTTAAGATTTTGTCGTTTCCATTGACATAAGTTACTTATTATATGGAAAAGAAAGTTGTTTTAAAGTTCTAATAGAGCTACTATTTTTTTTAAATAAACTTTACTTAATAATATACTACATAAAAAATGTAATAAATAATTGATATATTACATTATTTATATATACAGTAGAGGCTCACAAATTAGAACTACTTGTTCTAATTTCTGGACTTTTTTATTTCTATAAAAAATTATCAAAAAATTTAAACTCTACATAAAAACTTTATTTTATTATCTTTATTGAACATTATGATTTAAAATATTCGGTAATGTTTACTTGTTTTTTAGATTTAATCGAATTTTTTACAATAATATCGTTACGGAGAGTTTAAGAATTAGTCATGTGATTAGTAGAAAACGAGTCGTTTTTTTTGCACCAATTTATTACGATATTGACTCTTTCAATCGCTTCAGAATGATACCTATTTAATGTGGGATTGGAAAGATGCTAGTAATAAGGCGTTAGGGGCGGTACTATCTTAAAGAGCAGGATCAAATTTACTACTTTATTTCGCAAGTCGTGCACTGAGTAATATGGAGAAGAGATATTCAAGAATAGAAAATGAATTTCTAGCAATAGTTTGGGCAACTAGAAATTTTAGATTATATTTACTGGGAAGAAATTTCAAAATATTTGCATTTGACATTTTTTGCCCTTAAATAAGCTGATTTATTGATAATGAGCTCATTTATATGAAAGCACTTTGTATGAAAAATCATCCTAATTAGTGGCTATAATGTGCAAAACCTTCTTAATGAGACAGTGTGAATATGCTATAAGTTAAAAAGCACAGAAGCACTCTGTATGTTTAACGAAATTTACTTAGTAAGTTACATAGAGTGAAAACATACTATAACAGACATTTCACTCGTGATAACGAAACTCTTACTTGTGCAGTAAATCTATTTAACTTTTATGTAATAATAAATATTTAAATGTAAGAAGAACTGGCTACAATAAACAATTGGTTATAACAGACAATTGGCAAAGAGGCGGTAATGTGACACTCCCGAGCACCTATATTATTATAAAATATAACTTGCCCTGTAAAGACTACTAAAAATTCGCTAAAACCAAAACTACAAATTTTTTCTGTTTTCCTAATGTAGTCATACTTTTTTGTAGCTATCTTTCAATAGTTATGGTAATAACACTTCAATGTATTGTTAGCATCCAACATTGGATTTAGCAGTTTGGTATCTTCTTACTTTCTTGCCAACTGAAGTCGGAGTCATTAGTTTAGCAGCTTTTTACTCTGATTTTCTTGTTCAATCCTACGTCAAAATCATAAGTTTATCACCTCACTACTGATTCGCTTGTTTTATCTGAAGTCGGGGTCACCAGTTTGCAGCTTACTACTAAGCCGCCTATTCCATCCAATTAAGAGCAAGGGATTGTTGTTCGTGCAACAGCTAAGTAATATATAATATCAAAGGTTAATGAAAACTCAAGTTCATTTTGCATGGTAATTATTTTATATTTACTACATGAGGAGCCAAATTGTTAAGTTCTGTATAGTTTAAAGTATATAATAATATATTTGGTTTTTATTGTAAAGCACCGTAACATTTATTTTAAACTGTCAAATCTAGAGAAAATAAACTCGACTAAATTGCTAACATTTTTTTAACATTAAGTAACAAATTGCCAATTGAGAATGAGGCTCTTCTGGAAAGAACACAAAAATGATACGGTATATATTAAAAATTTAAAATAAGATTTTGGTATATTTTTATACTCGTTTCTAGATATTTTAGAATAAAAATTTTTTTATAATTGTATAAAGGCAATAATAATGGATTAGTACAAAAATTAAATTTATAATCAAGTGAATTCTTGTGCTATTCATCTTCATATAACTACTTTAGTTATCATCAAATATCCATCATCAATGAATTGTTGGCATAATGTATAATGTTGGAGTGCAATTATATCTCATAAATTAAACACTGTTAATATAACATTCCTTAGTGTTATAGAAAATATATATATATTAGAAATTTCATCCGTCCATTACGAAACTTCAATACCAACAGATTTACAATCCTAAACCCATTCATCTCATCAAGCTGTTCACAAATACAAACTAGCACGAAAGGAATTTAATATCTTCCTCACTGCTTAACACATATATTGGAAAGCTAGTTTCCAAAGAGTTTGAGAAATTTACAAAATATGAAGATTTAAAGTGAAAATACTACATAACCAAGAAAATAAAAAACTTTCTATGCCATAACTGTTTTTCAGGAATAAATATACAAACCAACAACAACTATTGCATTCAATATTTGTTTTCAAATATAAAATTTATCGGTAATCTAACAAAATTAACTAAATAACATAAATTGTTAAAGTATACTACCTTTAGTAATAAAATAAAAATAATTTATTTTTTTACAGATCTTAAACTTTAAAAGTGTTTATTGAGTGTTTTTTAATTTTTTATTTATACTACCATATACAGTATTTACAAAAATTTTTATCAATTTTACGTATATCTTACGTTTCAAAAGGAGCTCTGAAAAAGATTAGAATATAGAGTTGATAAGAAACCATTATAAAACTAAGGTAAATAGTTAACAGACCATTTGGTCCTAAACCAAAAGCAGAAGAACTAGATACACAAATCATATGATATTGAACATAATGAAAGAGATAATTGATAGAAAGAGAAAATAGAACAAGCGTTTACTCTGCCTCGCATATTTTCATTTCATAACGAAACTGAGAGGATTGACTAAAACGAAAACTTTGTTTATGATTAGGATCTCCGACGATTATAATCTCGTTCTAGTTTATACAAACGCTAGACAATCATCAAGACAAGACAAGATTGATCTATCGAATCTGTGATAACACCCATAGTGACCATGTGATGTTCATTGTGTTGTGCCCTGTGACGATCGTGATCTGTACCCTAAGATCAACTCTCCTTAACAATCACAGAAATTTGATCAGGTCATATTCTTTCACAGATGTATTGACTCTAAGTGATAGTATTATGGTTTAGTATTTTAAAAGAAGTGGTTTAGTATTTTAAAAGAACTAGTACTGTAACGTTCCATTTTAATAAAATATTTCGTTATATATATATATATGTCATATTTACAAACTTCTCATCATAAAAATAACAATTATCAACAAATTAAATATTTCAAAAATATACTCCAAACAAAAGCATATGTATGTAATTTATTGTTAAATCCGAAATACAAATTTAAACTTGCGAATGTTGACAATTCATAACAAAAAGGTTTTATAATCTGAAGATGCATTTTGCTTTAAGGCATTTTTAAATTGAAGTATAAAAACCTTAATGTATATTTTACCTTCAACTTTTTAATTAATGCGTTTTAATTATCAATAAACGATTCTCCAATTAAGTGTCAATTATAGTTTGTTTACATTTTGCAAATTAAAAATCATTCAACCTTAAAAATAATATTCGTAATAAAAACTACTAAATACTGCACAATAATATACAATACAAATATTTAATTAAAAATAAATAAAAATAAATACAAATAAATTTGTACCGGAAAATTCTCAACAAACTCTTTATTGATTATGTATAACATAATGCATCCAATGTTAATACTCTCGGTGTACCTATAACTTCCACGGAAAAGCCAATGCCAGAATGTGTTCAATTTTATACTAAATGAGAATTATAAGCATTAGCAAATCAATGTTCAACCAGGAGGAATTGATCAATAAATTGAATAGTGTGGGGACTAGAAAAAACTAATACCTCTCTAATAGGCTAATGTTATTGCATAAGCCTTTATGATTTAATATCACTTTATGTTTTTCATAAAACTTTACTAGCAGTAAAGATCATTAGCTGATATTTAAGTGATATTTAACTAATGTATACTCTAGTCTAATAGAATTGATTCCAGGTCTTTATTTTGCTATTTCTGCAATTAATTATTGGAGCTAAGCTATTATTAAATATATGTTTATATTGTTAAGATTGTTTTCAATTTTTGTTTTGCAAAATAAGTTCATTGTGTTTCTCCATAAATTAAATCATATTGCGTCCGATATTTATAAAGATGATATTTGTATATACATATAACCCATAACACTCGCAAAGAATCTAAGTACTTTCCTTAACACTAATGGATATATTCGTGCAGTATTCTCTATAAAAATACTATATGTAAGTGGGTCGATTGAACTCGCAAAGAATCTAAGTTCATTCCCCAACACTAATGGACATGTATATGCAGTATTCTCTATGAAAGTACTATATGTAAGTGGGTCGATTAAACCGATTGTTACTCAGTGCATAGAACCGCATAATAAAATCTTTGAGAAAGTATTAAAGAGATGCATATATACGCATATATTCAATCTAAATAATTTAAAGCATTATAAGAAATTTTGAAGAAAGACACATAAATCCAATAATTGAAAACTTCTTTCTTCTTTCTTGTATTTTTAATTCACTTTTCCCTAAAAACACACCTATAATTATGTAAAAAAAAAGAAATGTTATGGCAATAAAAAATGTATTTGTTTATAATAAATATTTCGTAATAAATAAATTAAAAAGTTCGTTGGTATTAAATTCGCAACAAATGGCAGCTTCTAGTTTTGTATGCGATACTCGAAGCAGCGACAGCTTCAGCAGCTTTCAATCACATACGAATGAGTAATGATGAGTTTTAAAACGAAGAAATAAAAATTAATACAATAAATGAAAAATAAATATAAAAAAGTGATACAATTCGATTTTATTTTGCTCTTCATTCGAGCGGTACGCCGTATAATCCATGCTGTGTAACGCTGTCATCTAAAGTGGACGATGCCGAAGATGACGACGATGTCGATGTCAGTGATGATGATGATGTCGAATATGAGTTACTTTCACCGCCTCCATACCTTATATCAATGTTATCTTCAGGTGCTAGTACCGCATTGCTATTAGTTGCAACATTAGATGCTCCATTGCTTGATGATATTTGATTAACATTGTTATATTGCGTGGCTCCGTCATACACTGGACCAAGCTGTTCGCCTTCTTTTCGTGTCTTGTACTTAATGAAATAGACTTCTGGTTTACTTGAGTGAATGCTAGATTGTTGAATCTGTTGAATTTCTTCAACCGTTGGTTCTTCAGGTTTCTTAACCAATACATATACAATTGTCTTTTCTTCAGATTGTGGAGCAGTTGCAGCTGCTAATTGCGCATAGTTGGGCGTAGCACTATTTGGAGCTTTAATAAATATTATTTTGTAATGTTTCTTTGGTTGCTCTTGTTGAATTAATTGTACTGGTGCATGCTTGCTTCCCTCTAAATCTTCTGGTGGTACATGCACGTAGATATGTTTCTCAAAGGTTGGATCTAATGGAGCATTTGCAAAAGTTTCCCGAATTACATTACCCAATTGACCATTTAATTGATTAGATGAAGAGGAACTAAAATCAATATTGTGTCCTCCAAATGAACCAGTTCCAAACGATGCAGCATTACCGGCTGAAATTAAATGCTGTGGCTGTTGCGGTGCAAAGTTATTATTAGGTGAAATCACTTGAGCACCAAAGGAATTATGTCCAAATGAACTTGCGTATCCATTAGAGCTCTGTTGGTAGCTATTGCTCGAAGAAAATTGGTTAGAACCGCCAAAATGTTGTACTGGTCGAGGTACAGCAACATTACCAACTGGACCAGGAAGCACAGGTCCAAGTGGACGATATGGAGATGAGCTGATAAACTGAGTTAATGGACGAGATGGTCTTCCTGTGAAGCCTGTATTTTGTGTAGCTGCAAACTTATTACTTTCATAACCCGAAGCATATTGTAAACCTGGCGTTGATTGTGGTGGTAAATATACTGGTGCTGGTGCTGGTACTAATGGTGGGGGTGCGGGTGCGGGTGCTGGTGGTAATTGAACTTTACCCGAGGATGGCACTGTATAATGATGATGTATGTGATTCGCTTGTGTAGATGCTGCTTGATTGGTGAATGTATTAGTGTAAGCAAAGTTTTGAGCGGAGTTTGTTTGAGCTGAATTGAACGGTTGTGCAGGTAACTGAGGGGGAAGTTGTGGTAATGGATTAAAGTAGTTTTGTTGTTGAGGTAATGGTAGTAATTGTTGTGAAATTGAAGCGGTACTGCTGGATTGCTCAGCTAGCCCACCTTGCACATATCCAGCTATTGGTCGAAACTCTTGAGAAGCACCAGTGATGACAGATGCAGCAGGTCCATTATCTCCGACTCTGATATGACTATTTACTGTAACTGCTTGTGATTGTGAGTTTACTGTACTTGCTGCTGTATCCAAATTATGTTCAACATGATGTTGGCCATTGTGATGATTCACAATTCTGCCGGTCGATTGTGATTGTATCAGTGCTGCGGCGTTGCCATTAATTTCTCCTAAATTATTATTAGCATTATGTGAGCAAGGTAATCCACTTGCCAGAATTGGCTTAAATCCATTCAGATTCCCATGCTCAACAACGGGTGCGGATGATTTGTAATTATATCCCTGGGGTGCAGCGATAGCCGATACAACAACGGTTAGTAACAAAACAATACTTGACATCGCGTATTCCGTGAGGAAACCGATAATTTGAAGATATCAACGCAAGTGATGTGAACGAATTTCGCGGAATGAACACAAGTCAAATTATGCTAAACTATTTATACCATCACGAGAAAGTTGAGTAGGTAAAATGTAAGTCGTAATATCCAGTAACTTCATTTATCTCTGTCGCCGACCAAATGAGCGAATTGAATCAACAAAAAAACCTTAAGTGAAAAAGATCTGCTCCAACGCCATTTCATATAGTGTAAAAACAATTAAATTCAACAAATTTAAACGTTTGTTTATATGTATATATATGTATATGTATATATATAAGTATATGTATGTAAGTATCTAGAGGAGAAGAAAAAATATACAATAAACTAATCAAATTTTCGAATGCTGTGCGTGCACGCGCGCTTTTATAAAGTGTAAATTTTGGACAATTTTTTTTTTATTAACTCAACACTCTCGTTTTCGAGTTACCACTCCGCGAATGAGTAATTAGTTAACGTAAACATTGTAAATGAACACCAAAACTTTCATCTCAGCTTCCAAACCTACAGATCGCAAACTCTTCATTGTTCGCTTTCAAATACTTATTAACATTCGAACTTCATGTCGAATTAAATTTTTTTCTTCTTGCTTTTCTTCACCGATCAATGAATGTGATTGGAACAAAATCATTAATTTTCCCACAATTTGGAATTAGGTAATACGTTCCGCATCTAATCAAATAGCAATTATTTACAAGCCATTGGACTGCATATGGAGTTGGTAATTGGATATGATACCCGGTGATAAGAAGCAAGCGTACTCCATGCGAAAAGTGTTGAAGGTTTAAATTGGAGCAGAAACACCAAAAGACATTTACATAATCCAAATGTAGGCCAATTAATATTTGAAAAACATATAAATATTATGTATAAATTAATTGTTTCTCTACTCAAAATGGAAGCATAGCCAACTTAATTTGTCTGTAAATGTGCTCATCAAACCATAAATATTATTTTTTATGTCCAATCAATGAAGCAAAACTTATTTAGTTTTCATAGCAATTTTTTACTGGTATGACATGGTAAATAAAGTGGATAGTATTATTATTATGGAAAATTATAATAATGCAACCTAAAAGATCTATTATGCACCTTAGTCGGATTAGAGTGTTTCTCCAAGTCCGACTTCTTTAATGAAAGACAGTACAGGTCCTATCTTTCCTAGTCTTGAGTCCTTGTGTTTCATGAAATAGCCCCATAGGTATTTCTTCTTCCTCTTGCTCGACATCAGCGCCGAGCATTCCCCTAACACAAGATATGGGATTTCTCTGTCTTCTTTACAGCATCTGCAGTCTGAGTTGGATTGGATTCCTAACTTTGTTAGGTGATTATTCTAGCTACAGTCAAGCGTTAATAATCCCGTAATAATTCTTAGGTTATTCTTTGTGTGTTCTATACACTCCTTGAAGCGTTTTAGGTTGTAACTTCCTTAAAGCATGTTAGATTACCGCAATCTTGGTGCCCAATATAGTTCTCTTTCTTTTTCCTCTGCGCCGTTCAAAAAAATGGATACAATACCTTTGCTTAGACCGCAGGGTTTGGGTCTATCATTATTAAAGCCGCGTCTCTTCTTGCGAATTTCTCTGCGATTCCATTGCATTGGATACCATCATGTCTCGGAATCCATATTAAGTGCACCTGTGAATAACTTAAGCTGGATTTTATAAAACATTTGAGTAATAAAATTAATGCCTACCACAGCATCATCATACTTTTATTGGATGTATCACTTTGTTCTTTTGATTTTTCAAGAGATGGAATAACTTTTGTATTAAATATTCTCTTACAATGACACTAACGGCGTTTTACAGAATCTATATATATATACAGTCAAACCTCCATAACTCGAACTTCTGTTATTCGAATTTTTTATAATTCAGACTAAATAGAGTACAACAGGCTTTAGAGAGCAAGTTACATACAATTTTTTAACTATAAGTCTCCATAAATCGAATCTTTTTCTTTGCAAAATCCTACTTCGAGTTATAGATGTTTGACTATATAACATGATTAAGGTAATTACCTTTCTATCACAGTTATTCCCATTTTGTGGATAATAACTGTTTTATGTACCGTAGCTGGAAAAAGGCCATATACTGTTAGAGTTAGACCCATTTTCTAAGGATAAAATAGATAACTAATAAAAGATCGATATACCCAAAACTGTTTCCGTTGCTGTGAATAGCATATCATATTAATTATAGTACAAGAAATTAAGAAATACAGATAAATCAGTTGGTAGAAAATTTAGCAAACCAAATGCATCTAAGCCAGAAGGATTAGCGGTTGAATTAAATTAGTTGAAGAGTCTATGCCAATTGACCTAGATACTAAATTATAAGCGAAAAATGGTGAATTTGACGTCTACAAGGTTGAGCACAGAAATTAGGGAAGCATAGCCCTTATATCTTAGCGCATATCAAATGGTAAAGGTCGACTTAGTAACTATCGGGAAAGTATCTCACCTTGAATAAAGAGTCTCGATGTTATGCGATATCATTGATATAAGAAACTTTTGAAGTATTGTAAAGCGCTTTCCTTTGCGGTTCTGCTTACCACTCGGTCTAGGCTTGTAGTAGTAACAATCCATAATTCTTCTTTTAACAACTCGAATTTTATCCCATAATTGGATAAGTAAATTATGATGAATTACGGATGAATCACTTGTAGAAAAATATTGAATTTTTTGTTGCGAATGCACAATATTGAGAAACTTTATTGACATAAAAAATAACCGGTGCATACAAAAATTGTAATAAATTCAAAAAACAATTAAAATATCTTAATTTATTGTAACGCCATATTCATAAATTATATAGCAATAGTCCAAATTTAATGAGAGCAACAAAACTCGCAATCGGCGGACGGACAAATTTTATAAAAGAAGCTTTTATGACCTCAATATTTCACAATACCAGAATGGATTAGACTAATCGCGATATACGAATTATAGTAAATGTTCCATCTAATTATAGTTAACTAACATTTAAATACTATTATTGTGCAAATACTTTAAACATTAGTCGTAACCTGACAAAAGTTTAGTAGATTTAGTATTGAAATATCTATTACGGTCCATAATTTACGGATATATGACTGTTTAGTAGCACATCTGAAGACTTATTTAGGGAAGGCTATTAAAACATATTTCATAGTTCACATATGAAAACATTGAATTGGAAAAAAACCTATTTTTAGTTTATTTCTTGACCTTAAGTGATCATTTGCTATTCATATTTTGTATGCTCAAAAGTACAAATATTTTATTCGATAAGTAGGAGCCAAACGAAGTTAACCTATGAAGTAGATTAGACAGAAAGGCAGTCTCAGAAAAAAAGTGTAAAATTAAACTATTACTTAACAATGACTCAGCGTAATTAGTATTTTCACCGCACCGGTGTATAATACTAATACATTTTATGACATTAAATTCAATAAAAAAATGTATGTATCTCAACTGTTATATCGCACATATATACATAAAATATTTGCGAATGCTTTCTCATTTGTAAATATGGTTTGTTGTGATAACTTCGAACTTCGACTGGATCTCTTCTACGGATATACGGATATGCATATATGCAGACATAATTATATGTTAATGCTTAAGCGGTTTGCATGTTCCATTACATCAATCAGTTCAATATTCAAGTAGGATCAGTCGAGATCCGCATATTGACACTCAACTGTTTAAGTGTTAATCTCTTATGGGTGCTGTCCGTCTGCGACTTCTGCGTCCAATCTGCCGCCATGTGAGGTAACACCTTATTGAATATTCAAAAGAGTTGCGATTTGAGTTTTTTTATATTACATATATATTTTTTTTTTATTTATATTTTAGTTTGTATTTTTTAAAACTTTTGTTTTCATTTGCTTTCTTCTTTAAGTCCGCCAGGCTTTTAGCCCATTGCGCTACACACATTACACTCACATATCATCAGCATCATATTAATTTTGTTATGATATTGTGTATATATGTTATATATATATATATATATATATATATATATATATTATATATATATATATAATATATATTATATATATATATATATATATATATATATATAAATTAATAATAATTGTTTTTAAAGTGTATCAATCGTTTTTTTTTCACTTTTGAATAAAAATTTAAATTTATTGAATATTAATTTTAAACAAGTATTATATATAATAACAATTATATGATTACAATTATGATTATTATAATAATCATTTATTATTATATTATTATAATTTATTGTAATAATATTACAAAAATTTATGGTTTTTTTCTATTTTTCCTTTAGCTTCATAATTCCATCGGTGTTCTACCCTGTTTATCAACAAAAAATTTGGGCAAATAATTTTCAGAGCCTCTTCACTTGTCAAATTTTTTACCATTCATTATCTGGTGCAAGATCCAGTTTATATATGGTAGATACATCAAAACTTCTTAAACATGTTCCGGCAATTTATTTCGAGTCATAAAACATGTTTGTGGCCAAGCGTTATCAAAATGAAATTATCAGAATGGAATCCAACATGGAATCCAAAAGTTGACTAATTCTTATCGTTTTTGCTTGATTGTTTTATTCAAGCAGTCAAGTTGTGACCAGTAAACGACTGCATCAACCATTAAATCAGGCTGGACAATATTGTTATGGACAATGCTTTCCAATCAACAAAAAAACAATGAACAATCTACTTGTTACTGGTCAATTCAGTTTTTAAAGTGGTTTGTGAAGGGTCCCCAGCCGTTTATCAAGATTGATGTGTTGGATATTATCTTATTTAATCCATTATTCATCTCCCTTATTGATACGCTCTTAAAATGATGGACAATTCTTTCCAATCCCACAAAACAATGAACATATACTTGTTTCTGGTCAATTCAGTTTTTAAAGTCGTTTGTAAAAAGTCCCCAGCCTTTTATTAAGATGTATTGGATATTATCTTATTTAATCCATTAATCCTTTTAAAATGGTTCGATTTCGTTACGTTTCACTGATGGTAATATATTTGATCCCTAAACTTCGAGCGTCTTTGCATAATCTGCTTTTTTGAAACGATTCTAAATTGGAACTGGGTTGATGTTAAGTACCTCAGCTTAGCACCGACTAGCTTGTGTATCAGTCATACGCCACCAATTGTAAAATTTCATTTACTAAATTTACTGGCCGACCAGAACGAGATCCATCTTGGATAAAGCGGCATATAACTTTTTGTAGATATCATAATCACGAACTTTAGGCGATTAAACCTTAAAGCAGATAGAGTTCAAGTTCATGATTAGTAGATTATAGTGTATGGGCTATCTAACTTACATGTGTGAAGAGCAGCATACAATTATGAAAAATATATATATAAATATATACTGTAGTGGAATCAGGTTTCCGATGCTGCCTAATATATTTAGATGCTTGTATAAATTATTTTTGATTTTATCTTTCTACCGAAATAATGTATTCAAGCTTAACACAAATAGTGAAAGTAATTCTGGACGTGTAAAAAGGCGCGATTATCATTTGCGTACCAAAAGAATTGAAACTTAAAGCAAAATTTAAAACTTTAAATTTTATTCAAATTATTGCAATAATAAAAAAATATATTAAGTAATATAGTTTGGCCTCAATTCGGCATTTATAAACTCAAAATATAAAACTGAAACATTATTATGAAAACAGTAGTTTTAATGCAGTATCGAAGCGTGGGAGCTGTGTCAGCAATTGCTAACTACCGGAAAGTAACAACTAGTATATTTATATAGAAGGATCTAAAATCCTTCTTGCTTAAAATAATTAATATTTCGTTTAATTACACTTTAGTCTTTTCAAAAAAAATGGAAATTATTTATTGAGTGACATAGTTTTTTGATAAGAAATCAGGATATTTATAGGGAGCTGAAGATCAATCAACTGTTTGAAATCATATAAATTTAAAAGAAATGGTTTCAAGACGAATATTTAGGTGACCTATGTACTTAGTGAAAAAAATTTAATGAAGCAAATTTCCATTCAAGAATCGCTTTTAACTCAACATTATAGAGATAAAAAAGGAGATGGAAATATGGAGATAACATAATATAACTTTATATTGCACAATAGTTTATTACTCGAAAAAAAGATGAAGCCCAACGAACTGCGATTAATGGCAAGGAAGCTAGTGTTAAATATTTGTTGAATTGTTTGATATATTGAAGGGTATCACTTCTTACTTTCATTTATTTATCTGGTGTTCTTAGTAGCCCGTTTGACGTGGTGACAAAATCGGTATGCTCATCTCAAATGGTGTGGTTGGCCACCACACCAAACGGACTACTGAAGATATCAGCTATGTAGCTGTACTTAAAAGATTATACACTTTAACATAGCAAACATATAATACTGTCTTAAGAACTGCAGTCCAACGTGAGGCACCCTCACTTCAACTTCTTTTTTACAACTAGCAATTATTAGTGGTCTTTTATTTTTTGTTTATTTTATGTACCAGTACCAATTACTACTATTACTAATAATTATCTTAGCCTTTGTAGAACCTTTGAAGTGCTTGTTTTCATATTTTATTATATGATTGTCCCAACATATGATAGATTCGTTTCCATTTACTCTCTTAGATTTCCTCTATTGCATAATTTTGAACAGTTTAAAATACTCCAGGAATATCTCAAGAAGATGCATAGATAATGTAATAGGTCATTTTAACAAAATTAATGTGCAGATTAGAGAACTATGCCATTAGATTGAAAAAAAAATTAAATGTATTAATTATGGAAGGAACCACTTAGGACTGAAATGCTTATAAAGAAGAACAACAATTTATTATCTTAAACTACGGACTCTATAAAACGAGTTGTCATAACTTGATTGAATACCAACACCGTTCTGATCAGATTGACAACTTAATCTTTGTAGTTTCTCTTCTATCACTTATATTACTACTAACGCAGAAAGCTGATAGATATGAAATAAGTTAAACCTTTTAGATGATTTTTAAAGTAAATTATGACGAAAGAAACCATGTTTTTTAATAGAAACTAATGTTTTAATAGAGATCAATAATTCAATTAATAAAGAAATAATTCTAACAATAATTAAGAAATACAATTTTGTTGTAATTCACCGCTGTTTAAAATAAGTCTCAATTAACCAAAACTTTAATTAATTAAGAATAAAATTAATAAAGTAAATAATTATAATAATTAAAAATAATAAATTTTTCTAATTGTAATTCACTACTGTTCAAAATACGTCTCTGTTTAAAGGTTTACTAACATTTAGAAAATAACTTACAGATCTTAAAAACCCAGATATATTAAAGTGTTATATTATATTATAAATGTAATGTAAATATAAATAGATTGGAGACTTAGATTACAGGGTGTGTTTATTAAATTATTATTTTTTTGCAAGTAGAAAAAACTTTTTCTGACATGTAAATAAGTTTGCTATTTCCAGTTATTGTTTTTCTTTTACGACTAATTAAAAATTTAATACCTTACTGTGATCTGCCTTATACAACACCTCTTACAAATCTGTTATTTAAACTTATACCTACTTTAACATAATAACATATAAAAATTAGATATTTTAAGATAAATACTTATCACATCTTCTCAAATTGAGGTATTTATTTTGTTATATAGGAGTGAATGAGTTGTTAGTAATCCCAGTTATTGCTGAAAAAAGGGTTTCCCCTCTTCATCCAAATTTAAAAATATTTCAATTGCATATTTATAGGATGAAATAATTAAATCATACAAATTATTTTGTTTATTTCATACATGTTTATAGTATAAAATACCAGGTGTACCTATGAACAACAAATGATAAATTTGAACCATGCATTAATCGAGAAACGACCGGAATGGGCCAGAAGACACGACAATGCACCTGCACACAAAGCAAAACGGGTTCAGGATGCAATCAAAACACTTGGCTGGGAGCTGCTACCCCACCCGCCGTATTTATCAGACTTGGCTCCTTCCGACTACCATTTGTTTTCATCGATGGGACACGCATTGGCTGAGCAGCACTTTGATTCCTACGAGGAGGTCGAAAATTGGGTGTCTGGTTGGTTTGCCTTAAAAGACGAACAATTTTTTTGGCGTGGTATCCACAAATTGCCAGAAAGGTGGTAAAAATGTGTAGAAAGCAATGGCCAATAGTTTAAATAAAATGTTTTTTACTTTCCTATTACTAATTAGTGTTTTATTTTCACCAAAAAACGCTCATTTCATACCGGCACACCTAATAAATGTAGCAAAAGTGCTTAAGAAGTTTTATTTATATAAAGTGATCCACAAAACAGGATGAAGATCACAGGTATTTAAATTTTTTTAACAACCAAATACTTATATTAAATTATTTTTATAAATTAATATACAATATTAATTTGGCATCATATGGTTATTTTTTAAAAGTAAAAAAATGTATAATAAATATTAAGAAATTTCAAGTTCTAAATTAATATACAATAACTAAACAATAACTACTTTTTTTTTTATTCTCTCCTTACATAAATAACATAAGATAATTTACAATTAAAAAAGTTTATTTATATATTAAATTATTAAATAATTTTTTATTTTTATAATATTTTTCAAACAATATCAACTATACATCAATTAAAATTTAAGCAACATACAAAATAAATTCTTTACACTCAACACAACTTTTATGCAAATTAAACAACAGTAAAAATATATACATATCCTAACTATGTAACACTGAACATATGAGAAATTAATATGTAAAATCGATCATTGAATATGAATTATTCATAAATCGTATCACATCTAAATCTACTAGTGTCAAAATCAAGTCTATCAGAACTATCAGAGGTGTTAGATCCATCAGATTTGTCCGACCCATCAGACCTATCTGATCTGTCAGATCTATCAAATCTATCGGATTCGTCAGATCTATTAGATTCATCAGATGTTTCTGAGTTAGTATAATCAGAATTATTAAAATCGGTGTCACTTGTGGAAAAACTAGGGTTTCTTTTAAATGAAAAACAATTTTCATCGTTTCGTTTTGTTAGATTTCTTACTTCCTTTGTATTCTCTAAGATTTTACTGAGACTTTCAATTTTCGACTGAAAAGAATCTTTAGAAGCTAAGCTTGCGACAGACGATGCAACATTTGCGATTGTCGACATATTAATGCATGGTACATCCGGTGGAGGTTTTACGGAGAGATCAGCTTTTTTAAAAATATCCATCTCGTCGACATAAGTACAAGTAAAAGCTCTTGTCGATAAATTTACTGGACGTGGAAGCGATTCTATTTTTGACCCCTGTAAGTGTAAAATGTACAATAAATGTATATGTACTTAAAAAAAAGAATTTGCTTACATCTGCTGAATAACCTCGGTACTGAATAATAGGAGAATATGCTAGAAATTCATACATTTCACCATATAGAAACAATCCTTGAACACAATAGGTGTAACCAACTGGAATATTTTGTACATTTCCTATTGGTTCATTTAATGTACGATATACTTTTTGCGCATCAATTAATGATTTAACTAATTCATCAGCTTCTTTGCATATTATTTTTGGTGCTGGATCTGGGCTTGGGTGACAGCTCAACTACAAATACAGTGTTATATTTCAAATCATGTTTTTAAGGGGTTCACTTACAATTTTTTGCAAATATGCTCTACTTTCTTTCATTGCATTTAAAATATATCTTGAATTTTCTTCTGTATCATCTTCATCATCAAACATGGATTCTTCATTTATTGCTTTCTTTAATTCCTTTAAGTAACTAGGGGTTAAATTAGATTCATCTCCACCAGTTAGGCGTTCGTTTGAAGTACCTCTGTGACGCCTTTTATAATTCTGTAAAATTTATGTGTTAATTAAATTAATAAACATGTGACGTATTTTGCCAAAATGCAGATAAATAATTATTACTTTGGAATCATTATCTGAATGGTAAGTTTCTCTACATTCCGAGTCCATTTGATTTAACATGTCATCTTCTTCAACTTTCCAATCAGAGTTTGCACAAAGCAGTTCGTCTTTAGTGGGAGAAAAGCAACGACACCAACACAGAAAAGGAAATAGAATGAAGAAGAAGGTATTTATAACAAATCGCCGACATCTGTGAAATAAACGCAAATAAATATCTTATACATTTATAATGATTTTTGCACCACAAAAACATATTTATATATAGTACCTCGAAGAATCTTCATATCCTTTTGCAGGTTGAATCCAATCATAACCACATTTGTCAATGGGTTTTACGCAAACTCCTAAAGAAGCTTTCAATAATCCTTTTTAAAAACGTGAGAAATATTATTATAAAAATTGTTTATTAGTTTAAAAAATACTTTGAAACGAACCTAACAAAATCATAAGTAAAATCAATATAATCGCATTGCGAACATAGATCCAAACTGAGCTTTCTTCCTCCTCTGCATTAAATCCTCCTTCAGTTTTCGAAGTTCGCACTTTATCACCGAGTGACACATTTTCTTCATTATCATCTGGATCCACATGCAGTAACAGGCCAGCAGAAAGTTTTTCTTCATGATCCATACGCTGGCAGACGTGATAATCCACATGGGTTTCTATATTTGGAACACAGTGACAACGGCAATCCCACACACAAAAACATCGAGCATCTGGTTCAATCTGTACTTGACGAATAGCAATAGGCTTATACTTCGTTGCATGTTGGTTTGGAATTATTTTTCGACGTCGCTTTACCGAGTCCATTTTTGTTCGTGCATTACAAGGCGTCACCACAACTTTGAAGAAAGTTATTATTTGAATAATTAATAATAAAAAAGTTAAACTTTTATTAATCCAACTAACCATCACAATTAAATTTTTTGTGTTTCTGATTTGGTTCTGAAATCAAAGGCAGCAGGAAGGAAATGGTCTCGCCTATTCTAGGATACAAATGCTTGTTTACTGTGGATTTAACACTAGAAGAACAGGCACCAAGATCACAATTCATTACACCAATTGAAAACTCATGTGTGCGAAGCCCTTCATTAATTACATCTACAGACACTTGCAATGCATCTTTTGTGGTTGCATCGCTAGTAATTTTAGCAATCTTTACTTTATATGAGTTATCACGGATCACCTCATTATTGCGAAATGGCATTTTTACTTTAAAGTTGAATGCTAGAAGATATTAGTATAGCAAATGAATATACAATTTCTAAGACAGATTAAAAGAATCAAGTCAGATTTCTTACCAGGCACTTTGTCATCTAACATATTCAAACACAAATGATTTTTATCATGTGGACACCGCTCTAGAACATTCATTGTCACTGGGAACACACCCAAATCTCCAATAGTCTGAATGTCATCTTTACTTGATAAGTTTTTTGATTTATTGACACAGTCATTTGATGTTTCTGTATTTCGCACATTTTTGGAAGCGTTCAATTGATTAATGGAGTCGGCATGCATTTTTCTTCTTATTTTTCTACAAAGAATCTGATCATCTACCACGGGATTTGCCTTTTTATTTTTTATAGCATGCCGACTTCCACGTCTCTTTTTATCAATAGCTAGGATAATATTTGGATTTCTGTTGATTTTTGCTAAATTTGATACTAAACAATGATTAAATGATGAGATTTAAAAATTTATATTGGATGCAAATTAATGTACTTATACTACGGCGTGAGGGTTTATTATCTTTTGGAATGAGTAGTTGATGATTTTTAAGTTTTAAGGATTTTTCAAGTTGAAATATGTCGACATGGGACGAGAACAAAATCGAGAGATTCGCGTTGGCAAAGATTCCTGATAAGCTGTTGAGGCTATATAAAAAAAAATTAATATTTTTGCAAAAAAAAAAATAACACATTTACGTTATCGATGGTGCAATCTTCCACCAAATGTTGCGGCGCTTGCGAAAGATTTTCAAACTCGTTGTGAGGAACGGCAAGGGCGCACTCATGTTGAATACTGAATACCTATATGTCAAGCAATTGAAACTTACAAAATTATGCTTTTAAATGGGACTACACTTACCAAGTGTCTGACACTGAGCGTGGTCCCTTTAATGTTTTATCCGCACATGAACACACAGAAGGATCTTTTTGACAACCACAATCTTGCTCACCTAACGATGTAGTTGAATCTGTTTTTGTTGGTGGCTTTTTACCTTTACCACCACATGAATTACAGGGTTGTACGTCCTCATCAGTATGTCTTTGCATGCCTAAATGTAAGCCTTTCTGATCCATTTCATCAAAATTGTAATCATTGTCTTTAAGCGTGTCATGTATTCCTAAATCATCATACATTAAATAACTACGCTTCTCCATATTTTTAGGGTGTTCACGTCGAATTTTCCAAGAATCAGGTATTGGGATTGGGTACGGAGTTGCCATATGTGGGACAGTATAATCAAATTCTCTAGAAAACTGATTCATTTTGCGATCCTCGTTTGTATTTTGTGGACTTATTGTGTCAATTATGCGCATTTTGTCCGTAAAGCTTAAATGTGGATCTGTTATAATTCTTGAGATTGGAGGTCGCTTTGGGTAGGAATATTTTATGTTATCTGCTTTATTCATTGAATATTCATACGGTGAATCTTGCCAAGACCCTTTATATTCAGCAGTTTCCTCTAAGATGTACTCATTAATAATAATTTAGTATTAAAAATGTAAGTTATTGTATTTTATCAACTAATACTAAGGTCTTATTACTTACGCGATTTAAGTTTTGACCCTTCACCAGATTCATCAATATCGCGCATAACTTGTGGTTCCCAAGAAGGCAGATTTGAATCAGTCCATAATGACTTGGAACCCATTCCTGTAGGCTTTTCTTTTTCCTTTTCTAAAAATTTTGGCACAGTAACACCATATGATAGTATGGCGCCATAATCCGGTTTATATTCTGGGTCCTCCTTCACTGCAGTCATCTGAGGCTCATTATTATCCACATTTTTGCTGTTTGTAAAATCCATAAGATCTTTATTCATATAAAAATCATCATCATAAAACCCACTGCCTTTAATTGGTTTAAGTTTTGAAAAACCTTTCCTGTCATTGTTGTCATAGGAATCCATAAATTTAAATGCATCAAGACCCATTCCTTTACTCAGATAACTCTGATCGCGATTGTTATAAACATAATCACGATTTGTATTAGGCATGTCATACTTTTCATTGTAGAATGTACTGGGAAGATGATAAGTTGTTGAACTTTTTAAACCAGGTTTATGACTAAACGTTAGTTCTGTATATGAACCCCTTACAGGTATATTGCCTCTCAGATGTTCTCGAACATCTTGTTTATTGGATAGTTTTTTCTCACTAACATATTTACTATTTAAATTATATTTTGAGTTTCTTTAAGATTCAAATATATAAAAAAAAATTTAATAGATAAATAATGTATTAATTATATGTTTTAATAACAAAATTGATTTGATATTATTTAGTATGAAATGAAAAAAATGTAATAAAATTTATAATAAAAGATACATATATATATATATATATTTAAATACCTTGGATACGTCTTCTCTGCACTTGGCACAAAGTTCAATGCCTTTACTTCCACATAACCAAAATTTTTCTTTTGACCAACATTTGCAGCTTTACCATTGAAACCTTGGAGAGTATCCCCATTTAACATGTCATAATCATTTATTTTCAAATCGTCTGAGGTTGGCTCCGATATAATATCAGTTGCTCTGTAAGACGTTAATTTTCCCAAAGAGTTTTCATAAAAATCAAGAGGTGTTAATACATTATCGGCATTGCGTTGCATTAAAACTTTGCCTTCTTCTGGAACATTTAATTTGTCATCACTAATTTGCTTTATTAAAAAAAACACTATTATTTTATATATAAATAACCAATTAAATTTTAAAATACTTGAGTTTCCTGTCTTTTGTTTAAAGATATTAGATGGTTTTCTGCATCAGGAACTGATCCTCTTTCATCGAAGTCATTGTAAGCATATTCCGAGTCAAGATCACTTTCTTCATACATGTTATCGTGATTTTTGTCGGTGATTTTATTTTTGGGGTTAAAGTTCTGAGTTTTGTCTTTATTCTCATTATTCGCTTCCCGCATGTTCTGGTCTTTGTGATTAGTTTGTATGTCTTCATAATTATGCTCCACATTCTCACCTATTTGATCGTCGGCATCATAATCTTGTGACTTCACACCAATTTTTGTTTTGCACTCACAGTTTTTAAAGTTTACTGGTATCTTAGAATGTATCAGTTATATAAGAAAATTTTTGAATCATTTTTGTTAACATTTACCTTTAACTTTCTTTCCATTTGATTACCTTCATCATAACTTTCATCTTTATAGTCTTCATTCTCAACGGATTCACTGTTTTCAATTTTGTTTTCTGGTTTTAGTCGGTGCTTTACCTTGTGTCTTTTCTTAGCACGGGTAACTTTCTTTCGTTTGACGGTATTATGTGGAGCGTAACTTGCAGGATGTGAATCTCTATTAAATTCTTCAGGATAGTCAGTATGTGCCCCTTTTATTCGTTTTATCGAATTATGTTCGATGTTATTAATAGGACTTAATCCATTATTTACTTCATCCGAATCTTCATCACGTCTACCTTTTTTCCGTTTAACTGGATTATGCTGAGCAGAGCTTTCAGAACGTAATTCATTACTAAACTCATTTGAATCATCATCATGTCTATATTTCTTTAGTTTTACTGGACTATGTTCTGCATAACTGAATGGTCGGAATTCATTATTGAACTCGTTAGTTCCCTCACCACGCATTACTTTTAATTGTTTGATTGGATTATGTTCTGCGTAATTTAAAGGATTAAGTTCATTATTGAATTCGTCTGACTCCTCATGAAATCCAGTAACTGAGTTCATGTCCTGTTGCTGCAAACCTAAAATATCTTCAATGCCTTTAATTTCGTTTGAATTTTCATTTAAATTTATTTGAGGATATAATTTATTTTCTGTTTGCTGGTCAAGAGGAACATTTTTACTTCGCAATGGTCGCACATAACCATTTTCAGACGATTCAATTTTACCTTCAATTTCATTATCTTTTTGTAACTTACCCTCCTCAACGCTATTAATATTGTCAACTATATTCACAAAATCATTTTTTCCAATAAGTTTGACATTTGTTAGTTGTGAATCACGGGACGGTTTAACAAGTCCTAGTTGTGCTAATTTTCCACCGTCTTCCAATTTACTAACAAATTTTTCATCTACACCAACATTTGCCAACGATTCATGATCGTCCGCATTACGCAAGAAATCATTTTTAAATTTAGCTGTTGCTTTAATATCAGACGAAAAGCGACCTAAACCTGATTTTATGGGTCGAATAGACTCTTTATCAACTGCGTCAATCTTATTATCTTGCTGTGTTCTATGATTTGTTTCCATATTTGTATGCGTTCTTTTCTTAATGGATTGATCGCGTGCAGTTGGATCATTAAAAGACATATCATTACGTAATTGACTGGACTCTAAACTCTCATCCATATTCCTTCTAACTGCTGGAGAAAATACGGATGATATCTTCTCTATCACTTTAAATAAAAATAATATATATATCTAATGTATTATCACAAATTTGCAATGCTTCTACTTACCCCTATTAAATGATTCTTGCTCAGGGCTCAACTGACTTAAATCCTCATTTAGATGAATACTTCGAGGACCTGGTTTCTCTGATATTAAACTAGCTGGTTTTGCTTCACAACCCTCACATTTCATTGACTAAGATATTATAAATAACAGAATTTCATTCTTCAATATTTGTTACTGAAAAAATGCTTATTATACCTTAGAAAACTCTAATGGATACATCATAACTGGTTCACCCCGACTAATCTCAATAAGATATGGAGACATAATCTTTGCTTTACAATGCCGCTTCGGATCGTAAACTTCATCTAATATTAAAAATTTTTCCATTTTTTCTATATGGAAACTAGGATTAACACGTATATTAACCATTAATTGATCTTCGCAAGGAGCACGTTTCGATGACTTAAGTTTCGCTTCCTTCGGGCACTCCAAAAGAACAGCACTAACAACGGGAGATGCGTCGACAGAAGCTGGAGCGGATAATTGTGCCGATTTTCGTATTAAGTGTTGAGGTGCTTGAGAACAAATAATCACTCCTATAAATGATATAAAAATAATGTTACGAATAAAAAAAATCATTTTTGTTAATTAATGATACTAAAATATATCGTTGCAAAAAACAAAATTAATGAATTCCTTGATAATTTTACAAAATAAATAACATTTATTTTGAAATAGAAAATTTATTGCAATGCCTACCATGTTCTGCTAAACTTCATATAGATATTTATTTGAATAATATAATTTCAGTGAACAAAATTTAAAATTTAATCAAGTTTTTAAAATACCTGAGAAATATATGTAAATAAGATATATGTTTGTCATTTCAAAATCTTTATATATACCTTTATATATACCGAAGCTTCCTCAATCAGATGTATAAATTTGCGTGGTTTAGTATGTAAATAAAAATATAAATTCGGTCATGAAAGAAATAGAACCATAGGCATAAAAAGTGTATATAAAATTTTTATATATTTATATGCCGGCTTTGACCTAAATAGGTACATGTATACTGTAAGTTCAAGTGGAGTCTCTTCCCGTGAGTCCAATTAGCACTTTTGCAACATTTTAATGTCACATTGTAGTTAACTGTAAGTTCTATCCGTGTGGCTTTAGAACACATAGAGCGTAAAAATTAGCCTCCGCTACCTCCCGAGGTTATTGAAGTAAGGTTTATCTAGCATGGCTGTTATCTATTTCTAAAGAGCAAGACATGTTTAAAAGAAATGAAAAATGCTTTCTGTTCGTATATTTGATTAAAATTTTAATAGTTGGAATTATAGGAGGTTCCTATTTTAGCTGCCTGTGTTCCAATTAAACAGAAGACAATAAAAACTGCTGTCAATTTAGAGATATCCATTCTATTTCTCCTTATCAGAGATAACGTTTGCTTGAGATTACAAGCAAACTAACATATATTATAAAACTTACTGTATATTTATTGTTTTTACTTTCGTTACCAAGGAATGAAATGAATGATCTTTGTTCGACATCTCAACATTATCAATAGAACAGTACGCACCAAATTTACACAGACGTTTTATAGTGCAAACAATCTCTAACAGAACAATATCAATAATCAATATCAATAGTGTGATTCTTTCCAAGAGACGAGTATACATTTATATTTATTTATTAATTTTTTTTATTACTATTTTGTTATTTATAGAATATTCCCTTACATTAGCAATTAACAATAAGTTAATAAAACTTAAGTACTCTTATTATTATTATTATTATTATTATTATTATTATTATTATTATTATTATTATGTGGGTTAATCCATTGTGACTAAGATTTATTGTGTCGCTACTGAACTTCGAGTTTTTCTCTAAGTCCTATTACCTCGATAAACCGTAGTATGATTCCTACTGTAACGTGTCTATGCTCTTCAAACTGTAACATTTCTGTTCCCATTACTCGTCTTGTTTTGTGCATTAATACAGGACAATTTAGAAGTATATGCATTGCCGACTCTTCGTCAATTTTAGGCGGTGCTTTAGTCTGCAGTGTACTGTCAGGTTTCCTGTGAAAATTCTTAGACAGGTTTGTACAGTCCTTGAACCTGCTATGGTTACATGAACCCATAAGTAATTTGAATTGTAAAAGTCCTGGTAGTTTGTCCTAGTATACGATCCTGTGTTTGATTTCCTCTTCTAATAAGAGCGAGAAAAAGTGGCTCTTAATATAATTTAAAAAGTAAGTAACTCTTTTATGGGAAACTCACGACAATAATGTGGGCTAAAATACTTGAATTTTGGCTTTAGACTTGATTTCCTTAGAGACGATAACGAAAACTTACATGAATATTTTTAAAATGATGAATTTTATACAAGGTTGAACTGATTTGATTGGTGGCTGAGAGATCAGTTTTTACAGATAGTGTATAGTATATAAGATCTCGGTAAATATTTTTGTTCCCTACATACGTATAAAATGGGAGCAGTAATGGTGGATCTTAGTATTTTAAATTGAATGAGTTTTTTCAAATGAGCTTTTTATAATATTTCTATGTTGGAAACGCTGGTATTATTAAATACCTGTAGCTCATAAATCTAAATTGATTAAGTTGTACTATTGTACTGGAAAATCTGATACTCTAAAAGTAAGAAGGATAGCTTATAATAGCTTATAAGGCAATTTATTTTGAAAGCTTGTAGGTAATATTATTAACTTGCGGTTAATAATAAATAAAAATTTCTTTCTAAATAACATATATGCAGATCGATGCTTATTGTTAGATATTATAAAAAAATACAATATATGAATTAGCCACATTTTGCTAAGTTTTTCGGCCATTATCTATTCATTTTCGTCTAGAATGACTACATCATTATTTAAAGTTTCATTTTTAAAAACCCGATGCAGATATTTTTCAGACTATTCTTTAGAAATTAATTTTACAGCAATCAGAGCTTGAGAAAAAATCACAACAAATAGTTGATAGTAACCTAATATAGCAAGACCTAGTGTAGTGTAGCAACCACTGTAGATGAATTAAAACTCTCCGGCTAAGGACTATTAATTTTTACTCGAATTGTAAAAAATAAATATGACCCAAGGTTTTTGTCGTTGAAACGCAATTTCACGGTTTAAATATATTTATTGTATTACCAACAGTAGAGATTATAATCAATTGTTTATTCAATAAACTTTATTGGTCCCACCAAACATATGGTATCGTACATAATCCCTTCTTCTTATCAACCATGACTTTGTTATCGTTTATGAAATTTCACTACGGTTCAAAAGTTAAGTGCACTAAAAATGGTGCGATTTGATCCGATCCGATTTCCAAATTAAAATTCGATATATCAAATATTTGATAATATATCCAAAAATTGAGCAGTTTTTGGGATCCAAAATTCTGTCTCTTAGCAACCTTTTAGATGATAATTATGCAAAATCGAAACACATCACATTTTATTTCTGCAGAAGAAGAACTTACCAGTGCTTTGATATTAAGTAATTAAATTTAATTCAGTTTAAAAATATTTTTATTTTAATCTTTTATAATAGAAAAAAACAGTTCTAATACAAGACACTGTGGTACAGGGTTTCACATCAAGGGATTGATAACCAAGCATGAAATTTTCTTGTTAGTTCCTTGTGGATTTGTGTAATTGACTAACTTTTTCTAGTATACAGGTAGATTTTCAATGAATTGCTTTCGAGAACTACAAAAACTTAATAATATAATCTGTTCATTTATAAATTTAACAAAGTGTAACATTTCTATTTTTTTTTTATCGTTACCAAAAGATTTTTTTATATAATTTTTTTTTTGCTTATTGTTTAAACAATTAATAACATTTTGTTATTTTCACAAAAATACATTTTTTCAATTTCTGCTATTTACTATATAACTTCATCAATTTTCTAAAGTTCAACTACTTATTTACTAGATTAACTTCATATACATATTCTAATATAACAATATCAGTTCTAATTTTCTATATATATTTAAAAACTGTATTTTAATTATAATTGATTAAAAATTTTACTACAACTTATCAAATATGTTATTAAAGGCATTCTTATTAAATATTTTTACAAAATAATTTTAAAATAATTAAAAATATTTTAACTGAACAGATTTATTCTATAAAAGATATTCTATAAAACAAATAATTACACCGTTGTTTTAAAATATGAATGGTAATTGCTTGAAATACTTCAATACAATTAATTAAATAGTTTACAATAGTCAACAAGGAAAGTAATAGAAGCACAGATCATACCTATAAAAAGTAATATTCGAAGTTTTCAATATTTAAACTATTTGATGCAAACAATACGAATATTCCAATAATCCGAACTATTCAAACTACTTGATACAAATACAAATATCAAATTATTTGAATAAATTATATTTAGGCAAATATATCTAAAAACGGTTAAACAAGTAAGAGCTAAAAGGGTTCGAACAATAATAAAGAAGCAACAACAAAAGTGTGATTAATTTATTGAAATTTGGCTGTTCATAGAACGCTTTTTCGAGTATGTATGTATGATCAGCCAAGTTTCAATAAATTAGTCAAACTTTTGTTGTTACTTCGTCATCACTGTTCGAACCCTACTAGTTTCTTAACGTAATAAGTCGCATCACATTCGCGCAAAAAAATTAATATCAAGTTAGAACTGACTTTCATATTATAAAAAATTAAAAATTATTGCATTAGATTAATTAAATTTTTTCCCTCATAAATTTTTAAACAAATAGAAATGAGTATTATTATATCCTTTAAAAACATATTTTCAAAACTATAGCAATAGTATTAAAAGTACTTAACCACATTTTTATCTCAGATGTGTGGATAGAGTAGATATTTCGATATTATTATCTTCCGTCTTTTTAAGCATTCAATATAAAATAGATAAAAAAAAGTGACCGTACTTTTATATATAACAATACCTAATCCAAATCCGGAAAGAAAATAACACTAAATTCAATTATTTTCATAACGAAATTTATAACACATTGCAAGTTTTTTGAGCATTTATCATCGAACCCGATGGACATTTGAATACCTCAGTAGCGCTACCACCTTGTGCCACAAGCCAGCCCAAACTAAAGTTTAAATAATATAAGAATTAAGCATTAACTTATATAAATTTTTACTTACATATCTTCAAACTCACTAGCGTCCGTGTCGATGCCCGTATAGTCCGACTCTGCACACAACTCCTGTGCTGATACTAAGAAGAATATTTGTGTTGGAGTTAAATTCAGTCCCGGTAAACGTGCCATTCCCTTTATAGGTCCAGTGAGTGAGAGCATCGAATGATACGAAATTTGCATGCCACCTGACTGAATAAGTATATCCATCCGGCTATAGTTCGAAAAGATATTAACGGACTTTGGTACGCATCTCATGGCTTTATCTTCAAAAGTTTTTGTGATAGATCTTAAAATCTCTTTAGCAATTGCTACACCTACGGAAGCATATTGCAAATATGGTGGTAGTCTATCATCAAAATACGGCACCAATATTACTGATAAAGGAACAACTGAAAAATATGTTAAACCAAACTTAGAATTATAAAAACTATAAATTATACCTTAAATGATTGTCTTACCTATGGAGTGACTTAGAGTATCATAAAATATTTTAGCAACAATAGGATAAGCCCAACTAAATAATAAAGAGGAATTGCAATAAGTGTCAGACTGATTTATGTATTATATGTATACTCACGCATCGTGGGAATCCATCTCAACATTTATGGATTCTGGTACAATTCTATTTCGTTTGTATATTTTCAGAACATTTTCAAACCAATTATCTGTTGTTATTTCAATAGATTCTAATTGCCTAATCATTGCTGTGAAATTCGTAAATCCATTCCAAGGTTGCGATTGAATCTTCAAAGCCGATAATTTAACCAAGGCAGCTCCTTTCAAAGAAGGGGCACGTTTTAAATGCGCTTTGAGTGACTTAAATACAACTTCTGTCTTAAAAATAAAATAATTGATTGTAGTTATTATAATTTTAACATAGTGAATCTTTGTACTCACTCTTCTTATCACATCATTTAAGTCATCGGACGAATGCTGTGCTACATATAATGCCGAAGTGATATCAGGCAATGCCCACATGGTTGAACGTGTACAAACTGTTGGATTTGGTTTGTCCTGTGGCAATATTCCTAAAGCAAATAGAAGTAAAAGAGAATTGTGTGCTACACGAGTTGGATATTTCGTTAGCAGCTGCTCGACAGCCTTCAAATAATCTGAACTTCTAACAACAATTGGTCCACTCCAGTTACTCGGTATCAGTGTACTCCAGTTCAGCTATTAAATTGAATTTATTATACATCAGGTATATTTAAAATAATATATAAGCTCTCTTACTATTGGATATTGTTCTTGGACAGCTGATATATTATAAAAAACAGAACTATTCCAAAATCCTCTCCGAGAATGTTCAACACATATCTAAATAATATAAAAAATAAATATGTTATTTTCTTAATATTAAAATAATTTTCTTATCCTTTAATATACAATGAATTTCTGTTTAATATAGTAAAATTAATGTACATGAGGAGAGTTTCTACGTGCACACCCGGTCTCTCTAAAATTTTTTAAACCAGATACAATGGATTTTATTCAATTAAATATTTTATGTAAATTTTCAAACACACCCTCTCTCCTTAAATGCGTTTCTGTACATATACTTTTTATCATATTGTATAAATATATGTAGATATATAATATAGATTATTACATATCGAACCCGGTGGCTGAGTAACATAATAAGAGGCAACAACAATACACATTTAAAATACTTATTTTTTGTTGTGCGAAGTTTACTGTGTTACCATGTTACCTAATTATCAGGATCGTTATTATATTACGGGTATAATCCTAATATTTATTAATATATATATATGTAGAACCTTCGGATTGTTCAACAAGCTTGTGTCCTTAATAAGGCAAACAATTTTACTAATTGTTAATTGTTTACTCTTTTACTAATTGTAATACTATTTTACCACTTAATCAGGGTGAACAACTACTTTAATCAAGCCAACACTATTTATTTTTTACATACCTTATTTAGTGCTCTAATAAAAGTTGAAATAGCTTCATTTTCTGAGGCCTTTTGGTCATACGTCAAGCCACTGGGTAGAAAGCTTTCTAATAAACTATTCAGTAATTTTGGTTCTCCTTGCTTCATTGAATATGGTGGTGCTTTAGGACCCATCCAACGAATTTTATTCTGAAATTTATCATTTTTATTTTACTTCTATAATTGCATTTCAAATTCTTACTTCTAAAATTGGCGCAGATGTGCTGGGACCACTTATTATAAGTAATACGTGTGGGCGCCTACCATAACTCAGATCATAGTAAATATCAACAAGTGGTGTCGGACCCAATTCATAAATTTTTGAAATTAAATTCGATATTGAGGAAGGGCCTAAAGCTCCAATTGGTAAGTATCCACCCAATTGTTCCAGCACTAACTGAATTGTCGATGAGTTCGTTGTTTGTCGTAAACAGCTACCAAACAAACGGCCTAGTTTTCTAAATGGACCAGAAGTAGTATTGTGCTGCAATAGTTCTAAAATATAAAAGAAGAAAATACTTTATTGGAAATATACAATTAAAAAATATTTTGCAAAATCTTACGTTGCATTTGCATATCTACCGCCTCCTGTGCACTACGCATTGCACGTAAACTTATCAAACCTGATCCATGAACAGTAGCAGAACAACTAAAATTTTTAAATTCTGTACATGGATCCAGATGCCAATTAAGTTTGGCTTGTATACTAGAAGCAGCAATACGACATACTGCATCGACACATTCAGGCGGCGGAGCGGTTGTCGGCATGCAATCATCATCATCGGTATAACAATCCCGTGGCAGTTGTGATGGTGCCGTGCTTATCAAAAATAAAATAGGAGACGCCACCAATAATGAAGTAACAAGCAAAGTTGCCGTTGTAATTGCTATTTTATGAACTGTTGCTGATGTACGTAACCATATGCAAGGAGCACAACAGATCCAACCGAGGGCAGTATTCTATCAAACAATTAAAATTATTTCAATTAATATTGTAATATAAATTAAATGAATAAATATATTACCTTGTTATATCTATTTGAACCGCCATCCATATTTGCACTTTCGATAACTTCTATTTCGTCGGCTTTTGATAACTGATTTGCACCAACGGAAGTCTTGAAAGACATTTGTTTTTGTAAAAGTGCAGAACTACAACCACCAGAAGGGTTTGCCGATGTTATAGTACCACCGCTGCCTGCTATTGTACGTCCATTGTTGGGGCCACCAAACACACCACCACCTCCTCCACCCCCAACTGTACTATTACTACCAAAAATATTTCGCATACCTGAGTCAGCAGTCATCGCACTCTTATCAGTCTATTGTTATGGATTTGAGGAAGTTTGGCTGAGAATATAACTCTTGCGAAAATTCAATTTATAAAGAAATCCGTGGAAATCGTTTCTCTCTGCAAAATGTTCGACTTATTTCATTCTCTTCATATTTATTTATTTTTGATTTGAATTTATTACATAAACAGATGTGTAGGATTGCGATATCTTTCAAATCTTTCCCTTCAATCAACCACGTATGAAACTACTGACAAAATCAATACCGACGCCAAAACATATGGCAGATTGTGTTAACAAAATAATTGAAAGTACATTTCCGCACAGTTTTATTCGATATTTAATAGTTTATTATCACACATTATTATCCCTCAACTAAATAATTTACCTAATTATTTAAAATTTTATATCTCAAAATCCTTCCACCGATGCTTTCCACTCAGTTTTGACATTTTTAAAGACTGAAAAAAATTACTCCAATCGTTGAAATCATTTCAAGTGTGGTGAGAAAAGGTGCCTCCAAAAAGCTCTAAAGCTCCATGATTTCGACGAGTTGAGTAAAATTCAAATAAACAAAATCTTTAATGTTTACATTTTTGTTATAAACACATTGCCTAAATTCTATTTTCGGAAAAATATATTTACAAAGTAAATACTTTAATGGTATTTCTCTATAACTGAAACATTGCCATTTATAACAATAAATAACTTATATCACCGAAGAATACGCTAGGGATGTTCACAATCAAGTGTAAAAAGTTCAAGAAATATGCAAATTAGCAGGCTTATCGTTACTGTAATCGTTTACTGTTTTGTGTATATTTTGTCATATTTTCAATCTAATTTTATCATTTTTCATTTCATTTAGTTTTTCATTCTCTAATATTAAACAGTAGTGTTCTTAATGTCCACTTTCCCTCAACGATCTCAACGGTTCTCTTAAACCGTACTCTTTTAGGTACTTCTCTGCATATATCGTTCTATGTGTAATGCGCTACTGTCATCTCTCTTACAAATGACCATTCAATTGTCCTCAAGTTAAAACTGGTGCACCAGGGCGTCTACTGCCTTAAGGGTTCTACGTCAATGCTTGAAATGTATTTATTTGGTCGTTGGGTAGAATGCCCAATCAAATTCCATTTTTAGCATTTTTATTAAACAATACTAATAACTTAACAAGGAAATTAGCTTCTTGATTTAGTTAGTTTTACTGCTATTAATTACAACTATTAAGTTATTGGGGTAAAATACTTTTCGTCGAGTACAGGTGGTATAACAACAATTAATAGAATAAATAGTATCCATTACATTTATATATTATACAATTACAATTAATTATAAAACTTTGCAATTTTCTATTAATATTTCTATTCTATATTCTATTGCAATTATTACCTATTACTGTTTTTATCTATTACTCTCACTATGGATAGACACAATGAGAGAAACTAACCAAAATAAGTAATATTAAAATAGTACTAGGACAACAACGCCACAGAAATTACCGAGTAACCAGTGGACAATTTCATTAATTTGGGTTTCAAGGCACCAAGAATAATCAAAAAAAAATCGCTAACGAACTAGCTAGATAAACATCTCAGCAGTAAAAGAACAAATATTTAGCTCATTAAAAAGTGCTCAAATACATCCCCATAATCATTTTCTAAGAGAATCCGAATAAAAATTGAAAACTACTATATACAAACCAAAATTGACAAGCTTAAATTTAGCAGGAAGAAGACAGTACTAGATAGAACCAATATCTAAGTGCCAAATCCCGAAAAATAAAGTATTCTTTTCAAGAGGAAGAAAAAAAACTGAATACTTTCTTTAAAAATAAACAAGTCTCGCAAGATCAAGACATGTCACTATGAGACTAAGTGAGCATAAAAGGAAACATAACTCCTTTATCAAAGACGCTGATTCGTGTGAAAACTTACATTTTCCTAATCGGGTGTATGGTATCAAAACATTGTCTAGGCGTTACTTGGACAGAATACAAGTAGAAAGCTCGGCGACTACTAAAACAAACATTTTTATATGGTACTTCTAATATGAACATGATTAACAAACACTTTATTTTTATTTAAATTTAATTCTAACTGATAGGTTTAAAGCAGAAACCACTTTAATCTCCTTTAAGAACAGATATTACCCACAAGTTCTATCACAAAAAATCATATAGATACCCATTTTATATACATATTTTACATAATTTTCACGGCTTATATGAATATCGTTCTCCACAAAAAGTTGCTTAGCTCCCAATGAATGAAGTAATTTGACACATACCATTGTGCTCAAGCAATACTTCTAAGACTTATATGCGTCGTAAGTACATTTATAAAATTTCTGTGATGAGTGCGCTGATCTAAAGTTGTTTGGTTTATGCAATCCAGCTATATTAACAGAAATTAATTTCTGTAAATCTTAAGATCGGAATATCAGGAATTAGGTATACCATTTTTGTTTAGCGGTTTATATTATTATATTTGTTAATTATTATTTATTATTATATTTGGGTATATATTTTTTATATTTTATTATTTTTTGTACTTATAAATTCAAAAATTAATCAATATATTCCGAAATTAAACATAAATATCACCTTCTAGAATAAAGTTAATAAGTAAATAATTAATTCAAGAATATTTGATATCACGTTTTTAATACTAAATTAACTAAGATGAAACTTGTAACGGTTAAAATGGATTTATATAAAATTTATAAAATAAACTGCAGTTGATAACATCTTATTCCTACCAGTCACAGACAACCGTTAATGCAAGATCACTCTATACATATTAATACGATATCGTCAAATCTTACCATATAGACGAACTTAAAACCAACATACTCCCAATCTAGAACCAAAAAAACCACAGAATCTATATATAAGACCTCTTGCTAGTACTTTGGGCCTGATTAATCAAAGCAAAATATAAGTTTCTAAAATAACATCGGTCCTCATGGGACACTCAACTAAAGGCAACATAGATTTAGACTAAGGCACTTTCATTACAATTAAATAAAATACTTTAATATTTACGTCTTGTGATATTATCTTCAATGTAAAACAATTCCCAATAGTTTGTGGAAATGAAAATAAAATATATTTTCAATGTAAAGACTTATGTTCTATATTATATCAATTTTAATATATTGAACCACGTTAGTATATTTCAATATTATTGGAACCACATTCTTCTATTTTTCTCTCTCGTCTCTAGGCATAATGCAATCTTTTAATTTTTATTCTTGGTTATTAAAAACATAATCCACTCGTCTTTAGCCAGATTGCAATCCTTTCTCATCTTTATTCTGAGATAATAGATAATAACGCTGATTATTTAAAATATGTGACTAAATTGATCAGATTCTTTTACGAAATATTATTCATTTCATTTTATACATTTTATTATCTATTCACTTATTCCAGTAGGCCCTCATACACCGTTTTTAATATCTTCATTATCATCCGATCCATTATATTTTTCTTACCATATACTCTTTTAAAAATCATGTTAACACGGTATATAAAGTATTTTTTATTTCATTTTTATTAGCAATAAAATTTATTTAAAATATTCAAGCTAATTTATAAATTTTAAGCTGATTTTCTAAAAAGTATTTCGTTTAATTGAACATTGCATTGAAATATAAATATATTTATTAATAAATAAAGTTTTGTTTCGTTTTAAAATAATTGCGTTGCACCAAGTTTTTCTAGTTTTTAATTAAGTTCGACTATTTTTATTTAAATTGTATTATAATTGTATTATCTATTTCAAATCAACAATTTGTAATTATTAATATCTAAGTTGCAGTGCTTAATAAATAATTGTATATTTTTTTAAATAAAAATTATTATTTTAAATATTTTTTAAGTGATTGATTTGCGACGTTTATTGATTTAAAGCGTTTATATTTTAAAAAAAAAAAGTAAAATAATTTTTATTATAATTTTCAATTTACCAAAATTTTGCATTTATTTTTACAAATAAATTAAAATATTTAGAATACTATTTTTTTTAATTTTGTGGACGTAACATTTAATTTTATTTATAATACAAAATTTAATTTTTTACTTATCTGAAAAGCTTAAATTTTCGATCTGTAGTTTTAAAAATATATATTTTTGTTCATTTTCGCTGCTATATTGAATGAAAGCCTTATCATTTAAAAAAATATTTTTTTTAATTTTTTCTAGTTTTTAATATTATCAATTTTGTCTATATTTCACAATATACTAAAGTTTCAAAAAATTTCCAATGTATTGAATTGAATTTATATAAATTTTCTTTTATTAAGCGGATGGATACCTATTATCAACTATTAAATCACAAATATATATATTCTCTGTATATTCTCTTTCTGCAAAAGTAAATAAGGAATTAATAAAGTTAATTAGATATAACAACAAAATTACTATATTTACTAAAAATACTATCAATTCTAATAATAGTAATAAAAAAATTGTAATTATGTTGAAAAATAGTCAATTAGTTACGTTTTTTTTTTATTTTAAAGTACATATATTATATATAATTTCATATATAATTTATTTTCTTTAAGTAATCTTATAAAAGTATAAAAAATAAAAGTAACAACATTAAGATTTATACATGGTATATATGATTCTAATTATATTATTACTTTTATTTTAATTTTAAGTTTTTATGACTCGACACTGACATTGGACAGCCTCATTATAATAATACTTTTGCAAAGCGCACTGAATTGGGTTCTAAAATGATCTATTACTTTAACGCCCGTCTGACACTAGGAGCAAAAGACGCTGGGCACCGTCACTTCTCCGTTTGAGCGGTGAAAAATTTATTCGTCGCCGCTGGTTGTTGTACATTGCTCGACGATATCCTTGTATCACACAACCGCTCAAGAAGTAAAGTGGCGGTAGCAGGCGTTTTTTGTCGCTGGTGTGCATCGGCCCTATTACATTCTTTTTTGGGCAGAGGTCGACATTTCAATCTTTGGATTCTTACGAATTAATTTGTTTTATGTAAGCAAAAAATTTGTGTTTGCACAGCAAAACCATGAAGGGTTTTAGCATTATTTTATTGTTTAAAATATTTGAAGGAAATTATTTAAAATTTTTTTTATCTAGGTTTATTTCTGTCAACCTATGATTTAGGGTCATCCTATCCTTTTGGCAAAATGAACAAATTTGCTTTCTGAAGGTCTTAACAAAAAGTTTCAAATTATTCTTTTTTAGTAAAAGTTTCTTAAGATAGCCCTGTCTTCATTGGTTCACTAACGCATTCCCAATCAGATTTTATGATTCTTAAATATTTAAATACTATATATATAAATAATTAGAAAAGTTTAAAAAATCTTAAGAAACTTTAATTTATGTTTACAAAAATCAAATAATTCAATATTCAATACAATCAAATAATTTATCATCATTTATATTTCTATATATGTATATATGTTTACAAAATCGAATAATTTATATATATTTATACATATATATATACATATACGTATTTCATAATTCATATTTTAATACAGCGAAGACTCTCTTAAGTGGACACTCGTTGTTTTCCTAATATTTCAAATTTTCATCAATATAATTTCTTTAATATAAGTAATAAATATTAATATAAGTTGTGATGTGTAATAAAATAAATAAAATAAATAAAATAAAATAAAATAAAATAAAATAAAATAAAATAAATAAAACAAAATAGAATAAAGTAAAAAGAAATAAAATAAAATAAAATAAAATAAAATAAAATAAAATAAAATTAAATTAAATAAAATTAAATAAAAAAAATAAAAAAAATAAAATAAAATAAAATAAAATAAACATTACACACATATTATTTTCTGTGTAAAATACTAAACACACAAAGTCGTACAAACAAATTTTTTTTTAAATTTTATTTGTGTAATGCACGTTCATTTGCATTTTGTGCTCTCTCTTCAGTTTTGCTTCCGAAGTTACCGAATAATTTCACTTCGAATAATAATCGCAAATCCAGATATTCGCAGACTCTAGATTATTCAGACTCTCCGATATTTTTTTCAACTCCGGAGACTTTCGTTTACTATCCGATTAATCGGATTCTGGATTTTAGGAAATCATAATTTTTTTAACAGCGGCAAATTACATGTCTTTATATTTCTATGTTTTTGCTAGTAGTGTCCATTAGCAGAGTTTTCACTGTATTCTAAATTTTCGAAATTTTCTTATTATTTTTATTTTTAATATACAATAGTTTCACAATAAGTGCACATTTTTGACTTCTTATTAATTGAATTCTTTTTTATGATAAAAAATATTTTCGATAATAAAATTTAGAGAGCTTTTTTTTATAGTTAAAAATTATTTTAGGTACGAACATCAAGCAATGTCTGTTTTTGACATTTGATTGACAGATATATAAATTCTCATTACAATATATTATAAATAATCTCACTTATATATAATTTACTTGTTATATAGTAGTCTCTTTTATAAATCAGTAGTTAAAACCGCTAGCTTAATATTTATTTCTATTTGTGCTAAAAAGTTTATAAAATATGACAGATACGCTTTTAATGCATTTATATAAACTTTGTTTTTTTTTCTTACGTACATGACAGAAAATTAATTCATTTAGTTTAAAATATTTGACTAGAAGAGACTTAAATATCTTCACAGACTTTTTTAATGAAACAAATAATTCACATAAATTCACTTAAGTGGGCATTCTCTTGGGCAGTTTTATTTAAACTTACAACATTTCTTTATATATGACAATATTTAATTTAATTTAAAAAAATCGAAGAAACAGTTTAAGGCAGTAAGCAATATACGTAATATTTTCTTTGGCTTTAGTTAAGAATTTTACAAACATCGAGAAGTAAATTTAGTTAACTTATAATGAAAATACATTTAATTATCACATTTATACAAAAATTCAAAATACTTATAAGTGAATACCCACATTTTTAATAAAAACAAAAACACTAAAAGGAATGCATATACTTTGGTTTTAGTTTAAAGTGAAATAAAATGCTTTATAAAAAATAAATACAATTCATAATATAATTAAAAATAATAATTCTAATATTTTTCACATTTCTTTTGTAAACTTAAAAATAAATTTTTATAAATATTTATTTGTGTGCTACATGCTATATGTTGTTACTTCCTTCATACATCATCAAATTTTTATCACAGTTCAAATGGAGTATTGTATATATTAAACAGATTGTTTATACAATTAAATTTTATGTATATTAATTAATTATGCAAAGATATTCCTGTTATTCAATTACTCCCTATACAACCTATAAATTATTTGATGAGGTATTACAATATTATTAATAGCACAAGGAAAAGTATATAATTTTTTTTCTTCTACACACAATGCTTATAAAGTTTAACATATACGAGAGTAAAGACAATAAATAATAATATCTAAGTAAATTCAATTCTACTCTAAACTTATAATAACATAAGTACTGTTGTCATTCAATTTACTTATACAAATAATTAAAAATTAAAAAATCATACATTCAGAAAATAAAAATATTCATAGTACAATATATATTACTTTTATTTAATCATTTCAATTGCATCAAAAATAAAGAAATTTGTTTTCACTGGCAGTTCTTCAGACGCCTTATTTTGAGTGTGGACGTATTATAGATTTTGACGCGAAAAAATAAATTTATAATACTAAAAATATATTTTTCGCTTGAATTTCGTTAATATTCGTAATTTATAATTATAATTTTCGACACATAAAATTTCAAAATAATTTCAGCCAGACCAGCTTTTCATCATAAATTTCTTCAAATATAAACCCAAAAAGTTTTCTTTCCAATCATGCTTAAAAATTTTCAATCGATTCCTTTCCATTTCCGTTCTAGTGTCATAACCCTATCGTATCCTTCAAAATTGCTTCATTTCCTTTTCTTATTAGCCGCTATATAAGGCAATTTATCACACTTACCACTTGCATTTGCTTTCTCAATTCTTAAGTATGATTCACATTTGTGAAACTCCCTTGATCCTGTACCACGAGCAACCATTGCAGGTAATGCTCTCAGAAAGCCATACTGACCAGAGGGAATAGGAGGAGTCGGCGGTACTGAGAGCCCATACCGATTGTATAGGTAAGGCATTAATCCAGTCAAACACGTAATTAACGCTAAGACGTGTTCTAAATCACTTTCCAATGCATGATTTAAAAAATCATTGTATAATTTTGTCGGTATCATATTGTAGTATTCAAAAGAATCTATATACGCCTCGGTATCCCTAATATATTGTTCAAGAAAATCAGATAACAATTTTGCTACCATTGCTGAACGTGCTTTGTTAACAACTTTCGCATTTTCTGGATTCTTAAATAAAACAGGAGTTTTAAAGGCACCACCAATTCGATTTAGAAACTTTAGTATTAGTTTTTCATGAAAATCTCTGGGTTCCTTCGTTAAACGATGCAATACCGCCTCCAAATATCGACTAAACGTTTGGCGTGCTTGTAACTGTGTTAGCTCAGAACCGCTGTTAATGTAAGAGAGAATTTCAGCTCGCAAATTTTTACATAATTCCTCTGATTTTTCTATATTTTTTTTACAGAATACGATACGAGTAGAGTTTGCCAAGGCCCTTTCATACTGTGCATATCGCTGCTTTGCTGAATTACCTTCTTTTGCTCCCTTATTAACAGCATTTTTCCCATATAAATTATCAAACAAAACTTGATTGTAGTTATGTGGTAATACCATAGGGCATAAATTTTGACCTGGTGCAACAGAAGTTGAAAGAGGTATTCCAGTTGTAGTATCCAAATAGTGTCCGTAACGTTGCATAGTGTCTTCTGCTGGAAATATGCGCACAAATCCACCACGTCGGGCATTTTGCATGCAAGCATTACGAACGATTCGTTGTTCTTCCGTAGTCAACGGATGAAGATTTTGACTTCCACTAACACTTGGGCGTTTGTTACCGGAATCAGCAGAACTAGTACGTTTCCCAAAGTTTATACTTCGGAATCGAGTCCACTTTTTGTCAAAGGTATCACGTGTTGAGGTACTAAATGCAGGTATTCCGACACAGGTCAATAGATCCGTTAAAAGACAAGCTTTAACACGAGTATCAAGACCACTATCAACACCCATTGATGGCGAAAGATTCACTTCAAGCAACCACGGTTTCAACGAATTATCCACAAGAATATCAAATCCATAAAGCTCAAAACAGTTATTACCGCTTGGCACAAACATACGACAAGCTGCAATTACAGTTTGTGAACAGGCAAGTATCGATTTAATTATAAGATCCTCAATATTAGCCATCAGCTGTGGAACATTGTGCCCTTGAACTCTTAAATGCCTCAATAGTGCCGACAATGTCCATTTATGACCAATATCTTCCTCGGTGTCATCATTTGGCTTTATATAATCCATATGATATTTGTTGATACTATAATTACAAAGATGCATGCATGGATTCCATAAATGTGCTTCCCTACGATCATATTTTACTGTTGCTAAACGAACTAACCCTTCTTCGTAGATATATATAACGAGCGGGTCGAATGATGTTACTAACACGTATATACGTATATCACATTTATGACCATCAATGCATAACGTATCTACTATATATCTAGATACAATTACCGGTTCATCCATATCTATCTGATCAGGCTATAAAATAAATTGACAATCACGATTTGAATCTGAACCGTTACAAAAAAAAATTTACTTACTGCATTGACTATATAAATTCCTCGTCCTCTACTTGAAGCCGCTGGTTTAACAATCCACGGACCTTTCTGTTTATTATGTGCCGATGCCAACTCCTTTAACTCCTTCGGTAACATGTAAGACTGAGGCACGAAATCGAAACTTCTAAATCCATGCAAATGTTGAAGGTGTACAATATTTTTGTAAAGACGATCTTTTCTGGTCAACTCATACGATCTAAATTGGTAGAAAACAATATAATTATTTAGAATTATGCTACACAATCCATATTTGTAGTTTTAATGAAATTAACATTACCACCACATACCGTGGAAAGTGATTAACTCTTTGGTATGGTGCCAGATTTCGAAGAATATCTGGCTTTATATGAACACCAGTCCATAGTATACTAAAATTTTCATCTTTTTGTACTTCAGTTAAACCATGTCTATTAAAAATCTTCCTAATTAATCTGGTCTCCGTTTGCATAAACTTATACGTTATTTTAAGTACGTGTGCAGGCATCGTTCTCGAATATGGCAAGTCGATATTACCCTCATCAGCTTCATGATTTGAATACTCTGAATCACATTGGAAATCTCCCGACTCATTTAAATCCGCTTCAGTATCCTCAGACTCAGCAGATTCTTTTGCGGATTTTGTAACTATGCTGTTGCTTCGACCTCGACCATCAAATAACTGAGGAGTGGTTGATGAACCGCTGACGGGATTCTTGGAATCAGCTGCGTTGTTGTCTGAATTTGAATCTTGAATTTCTGATGTAGCGGAAATGTCTGAATTGAGGATGTTGGTACGAAACTTGAGAACAGCATCGCGTGTTCCTAATTTTCCACTTGCAACCCATTCACTGTCAACTACCTCAGTTTCGCTATTTCTAAAATTGAAAATTAAATCAATAATATGAATAAAGCAACATAAATGATTACAAAAAAATTTGCATTATACTATTATCTTATATCCTAAATCAAATGTGTTATATCTGCGGTATTAAAATATATTGTTTAAAGAGTTTTATGAGACCTATAAACGTTTTTTTGAGTGAATAATTATGAGATAGTTAAGGAAAAATTTTTAATTCATAGCAAACTTACTATTATAGTACTAAGAACCATTAATAATAGAAGGAATTGAAAATAATTTACTAAAAAAAATTTCGACTGTGATTAGAGAATATATCTAATTCAACCTTGATCTAAAGTGTACATGTGTAGATTTTTAAATAGAGAAGGCAATAATTATATAATACTATTATAATTGAAATGGTTCCCTGCGGAGAGGGGAAAAGAATACTCCGGCGGTTAGGATGGCCTGTCGTAAGAGGCGACTAATATCCCCCAGTGCCAATCTGACACTTATGCAAGAAGTGTAAATGGTAGTGAGTTGTGGGCGGCAACTTGCGACATTTGACCAGAGATGATACTATCTGGTACTTCGGGAGTCAGTGGCCCGACAGCTTCGGCTGTGCTGACCATTGGCGTTGGACTCGAAGTGGTTGTGGTTAATACCCAAAGTCACGCGGGAAGAATGTTTTGTTTGTCATTCATTCGCCGTGGTGTGCGTTTCAAACCGGGTGCTGTGACCCAAAGATCAGCAGAGGTAGTTGGTAGGCCTCGCATCTTACCAAGGTGGAAGTTATAACTTGCATGAATTTCTTCATTGGTACCGGCGGAATAAGGAAGGCTATTCCAATGGGGCGTTGATTGACGCTTAAAATAATACGTGTGTTAAGAGCACCGTGGTGTTAAGCCATCAAGGCAGGAAATCACGTAAAAACACAGGATGTATGTATGTATGTATAATAGAAATGGGTTTGTTGAAATGCTTGAAATGGTTTGTTGAATTTGGAAGTCGTCTTTGTGTTTGACGAATGATGAATTAATTGATTATTACTGAATATTTGTTTATTCGTTATAAAAGTTAAAGGATGTTTAGAATTTTTTCAAGAATCCAACATACATTACAACTTTATTATGAACTGAATATAAATTAACTGAATTAACTGAATATAAATTATTCGTGCCGCATTTAAGATATTACAAGAAAGGTCACTTAAAGCGCGTAGAGTATTCAAAAAATATGGTATGTAAGTAGTTACTATATCACTAAGAAATAAAAATTAACCATAAGATTATTAAAAAGTAAAGAAAAGCACGATATTTCGGAATGAGGTACCACCACAGGGTGCAAAAAAAATTATTAGACCTGAATTTAAAACTCCGGTTGAAGCAGAACAAAATCGAACATATTGTTGAAGTTTACAGTGGATAGTAAGAAGTGCAGCGGATAAGATAATGTTAAACGGATTTAAAACGAATGATATCGAAAATATCATTAATTACAAGGAAAGTGATTTTGTGTGTTTGGGAATATTGCAGTGGTATTATCTGTTACCACCTAATCAAACGTTTGAGTTCAATCTCTTTTGTTAAAAATATTTAGAACTTTAGAGTTCTCTTGATAAAGAGGATGAATTCGATCAAGTGGTAAGGTGTTGTAATATTTCATCGTATACACATGTTTGATGACGATTAAAATTGATAGAACTGGGCTAGAAAGTTTTAATAAATCAACCATACTGTTTTGACAATAACACAATCAGATTAACTTTTCTTCGAATCTGTGTAAAAGTCTTTGGTTGATGTAAAATAGACCTTAAAGAAGATATTCTAAGATATTTTACAATAAAAGAATCACATTCTCAGGTGTTTTCGAATGAGAAAGAGAATCATAACGTGAAGCTAGTAATGAGAATCAGGTTCTTATTAAAAAATTCCAAAGGTCGGAAACACAAGTAATAGTTAGATTAATAAAGATAGTTTTGGTATATATAATTACCAAAAATAAAAACGCCTATTAAATATTTCCTAACCCATCACAACAAAATTTAGTTATTATACACACTAACTTGTGTACTCATTTAAAAACAAATATATACTGTTCACATATATGATGTACAAAATATATAAGAATATTAAAGAAATATGTTAATAACAAATATTTGTGTATCTTATAATAATAGACATATCTATTTTTTATATAAATATTAAAAAATATTTCTTTTGATTTTTTTTATTAACTACAAAACATTTTATTTAAAATAAGAAAGTTTTTTGAGAGAATGTCGTAACAGTTTTAGATCTATTTACTCTATCTTATCTATCTTCCATGACTAAAAAAATTTATTTAAATATCTTAGGTGCTCTGGGTTCAAATAAGAATTTTCGATATATTTTTAATCAAACATATCATTCCATATTTGTTTGTGGTAAAATTAAGAGAAACAGAAAGTATTTCAAAAAATTATTAATTATTAATTAATATATTAATTTCGCCACAGGTGAGTGTGTCTTAATAATTTTATAAAATTATTTTTGACTAAATTAATATATTTTACTATAATCTTCAACATTCCGATTAATAATAATTTACCGTTTAGACAATAAAACTTTTTTCAAATTCTCAACTCGTATCCTTGAACGAATGAATTTATTTCTTGACTTTATAATTTCATCATCCTTGATAAATTTTGCTTTCTTCAGAAATCTATCTCTATGTGCTTTAGATAAAAATGAGAAAACGATTTTAACAAACAATGATTTTAGATAAGTTATATTAAAACTAGTTATTTACAAACCTTAAATCCATAAAAAACGCTTCATTCTATCTATATTTAGAGAAAAAAAAAAGACTTACCCATTGTGAGCGGAAATAATTTTGTTATCAGAAGTTGGCATAACGAATCTGCAAAGGATTATTGGATACAATTTTTTTGCTCTCTATAAAATAGAAAAGTAACTGCAGGGTGTCACTCCTTTCTATATACGAAACGCGGTTAATGGAAAATGCTAATTTATATTTATCTCTTCTAGACTTAAAATTTTTGAAATAAATGTGACGACATAAGAATTTGGATTATCAATTTTTTTAGAACAACACATAATAATAAACAAAAATTTTCATTAACAAAAAAATCAAATATAACTTGTGATTTTTTAAATTAATTTTTTATGGCCTACTTTTTTATTTCTATTTAATATAGTATAATGTGTGTGTAAATATGAATTTATCATATACAATAATAGGAACTTAAGAAAGTAGTTCGTATTAGACATATTTTCAGACTCTTTGTGATGCCGTTTACATTATTTATTTTTTATAAATAATTTAATAACTATTAATAATTATTTATATTTATATAATTCATTTATAGGTTCACTTATACATTTTTCTTATTTAATGAAGTTTAGCTATTTTAGAATTTTTGCATTGACAAATGTTAATAAGTTCTTTGCCAACAGTTGTAAGACCAGAACATAGACCTAGCTGGTGATATAAGATATCTTCTTCGTACTTGGGCTGTTATACTTATAAAGTATAGCATGTGCTCGTATGCAATATCCCATTACTATTCTTATCAATATAGAAAGAGATTACAGTCATAATTCTAATTTATCGATTTAGTGGATTGTCTCATGCGAACTTTGAGCTTACTAGGTTGCTTTAAAGATGCTTAAGCATATTTACACTTAGTTCCGTCAATTCATCAGTAGTATTGTCTCTAGCAATATTACTATACCATACTACCCATAGGATCGGTTATATTGCTGCCATGCAGTTATCTACCCACTGACATACCCGTAGAAGCTAAGTACATATTTCTACTTAGCTTTCTTTGTTTCTGTTGAGCGCAGCCTGACTTTCATTGAGTATATTTATTTATTTTACCGATTAGTGACTTTCTCCGATATCCATTTAGTTGCGTCTTATATTAATAGAAGTTTACCTTTAAAGATATTGCAATGGTTACGAACTCTTCTTTACTGTAGAGTTTAAGCCTAAATATTCCATAAACTAACTATTTAAATTTGATCCACTTTTCAAGAATATAAGTTAATATTCCCACATAATGGATTCAATATATAATAGATTGATTTTTACTCTATTACAACTTTCAACTTTATCAAATTATTATGTTTTTTTAAGGATCTTTGTTAATTGAATCTGGACTGTTTCTTTACCACTTGTTCATTGAAGTATCGATGAAATATTGTACTTTTTAGAAGTGAGGACTTCAGGTTCGTTTTTAAGTATTTCTTACTTTATTGTTCTGCCGCAGATGCAGAATTTTTTCGAGTACTACCACCAGTTCTGCCACAACCACTATAGAAAATTGACAATCAAGCTGAAGCGGCTATTTTTATTATTATATATTCTTACAGTTTGTTTTTGTGTTTACGTTTTTATTTTTATGAATTTCATAATTATTCTTATAAATTATTTATACCGGCCCACTTGTAATGAAATTTTTAGAAGAACTCGTTTTAAGGCACTACTACTTTCATTTTAATGTAACATACTATGATCCGAGTTTCGAATAATTTGTTCACATCAAAATACTCGAGAGCTCTTACATTAGTCACCTGTGACTTCCCACTCATATCAAACGCTATCATATATACACGGTTGCCACTTGAAAATTTTTTTCTGTACCAAAATTGGTTTAAAAAGGTACCATTTCTATAAAAAAAAGGTCCAAAATTTTTTTGGACATTGTTGTTTTCTCGTTCTGTGTTTTTTATAGTGTTATAAATGAACAAAATATAAAATAGTGCAAAGTTGCATTTATAAAAAAAATTAATTGGAAATATGCACAATAAAATTGGGTCGTCAAAAATGTACCAGTTTTTGAAAATGAGTACCAAACGAAAAAAAAAAAAAAAAAAGTACCAATTTTGGTACTAAAGTACCATAAGTGGCAACCGTGCATATATACCTATTTAAATTTCATGTAAACAATAAAATCAGCTGACAGTAAGCAAATTATGGACATTGTGTTGCCACCATTTTAAAAACTACAACACTAAATTTTTGATTAACATATATATATTCACATACTATATTCTTATATGGATAAGCACATATGTATAATGCTATTATATATATATTGACTTTCAAATAACATAACAATCCGGTTTTAGTCATTTTTTTGGCATGTTATTTGTAGTCGTTTAGTAGCTTTTTTAATGAAATGGACTATAACATAGGAAGAACAAGCCCTATATAGTTATTTATGGTAAACCTATGTATATATCGCGTTTATTCGGCTATCGAAGTACAATTATCAGCTATCAATTAAATTTCATTAACAGCAATCGAATTTCGTGTTCAAAAATATATCATAGCGTGTCTCATTGTCAGTGCTCAGCATTTGGGATGTCAGTACTATATGCGAAACTAGGGAATTGCATATATAATATAATGTTAACTCTTCTAAATCATATGAGGCGGCAAAAACTGTCAGTGAGTGAAAGAAACACCATTTATGTTTTTCATTCTGTCTGGTGGTGAAATTGTGTGCTTTGAAGTATTTAAAATATTAAATTTAAAAGATTCTCTGGAAGTCTTTTTTAGTCTTTTTACACATAAACAACATTTTATATCTTTGTTATAAAGCAGTTACTTTTCTACAAAATTTTATAGAATTTATTATTATATTACATACCCAAATTCAAAAAATTAAATAATACAAAAAATATTTAGAGCCCGAAAAAAGAACACTACAGAGTAACAAGACCAATATCTAAATCTGTCATATCCACAGAGATTGAAATCTAACACCAATCTACAGAATCAGTTATAAAACAAGCACTTAATATGTTTTTCTTAGAACTTTTCTATATTTAACAAACAAATTTTTTAATTTATCCGTAAACAAGATGTTAACCTCTGGTTATTTTAACACAAACTAAACGTCTATTTTTCTAACGTATGTTTAATATATTGCAAACATTCATGGAATTAATGCCAACAAGGACAACACAACCCAAACGAGTGGAAAATTTATAGATTGTAGCAACGAAAATGTATAGTTTTACATATTAAAGAGCTTATTTTCCATACTCGTAATCATAAATTCATAAACATGTGAATACATACTCGTCGACAATTAGATCAAAGGATAGGTAACCCCTAAAGACAGACAATTTTATTACTGCCCAAAGCGAATGCGATACTTCAAGACATTTCATTTAAATAAATCGTGACTTTTCCCTAAAATAAGGACAACAAAAACAAACTCTTCATGCAACTATAAAAATATTTCCAAATAAAATCAAATTAAATTGGAAATGCACACAACAAAACAATTGCACACATGACAACTGCCTTATACGTATATAACGTACTTCCTACATATCTGATATTCTGAAAATGGAAGTGTCGCTAACTTCAATATTTTCCACTCGTATTTGGTAATAGAGACAACACAAAACAGATTTCTTATATTGAAGCACGACATACTGTTAATTGTCGAAAGCTCCTCAACTTTAGTAGTTATTGTTGTTGTTATTGCATTTCTAATAGTTTTCGGGGATACCTAACATGTTCACCTTCTTTCGAAAACGTGAAACTTATATTACATTATTTTTATTGTAGTTCAAATATAACTTCTGTCACTGGCGAAGCCTCGTTGCTTTGATTGCTCTGTGAACGATGAAGTTCCGGTCTAAGCGTCAGTTGGTTGTCGATATCGAGTGGCTCCGAAACTCATAAGCGAACGAAGTGATTACACATAAGAAAAGCTTAGCAAAAAAAACTACTAGTACTACAAAGAATAGTTTTTGTTCACAAGCGAATTAACTAATTAACTAAAAAAACATCTGAAGAACTTCGGTGTATCGCTACTTACCCATAACGTATATCTGCAATGCCAGAACGCAGAGTTAGTTTAAAACACCTGTAGAACATCAGTATACAGTTGACTACCTATGAGCCATTATTTATGAACATCCTTTTATTTTGAATACTTTAATGACGACTGGAACATAACGAAAATTTGCAGTTACCTCTAAATACAGAAGAACTAAATTGTTTTCCATAAGAGTATTCGTAACAGTAGGAAGATATATGTATAGGATGTGCTATAAGTAGTTCCAACCCGAAAGATCAGTTCTAAGAATGAAATCTAACAGAGAGCTGGCTCAATCTCTAACGGTTCGAAAATCTTGCTAAACAGTGTCTTGTGTGGTCAATGCCATGAGACGCAATGAATCCAAAGTTCGTTTTACTGAGGAACTGGGAGGGTGTCAAACAAACCTAACAGCTGATGGGGAAAGGTTCCGAAGTAAGCATAGTCGGATCGAGCAAGAAGCATTAAGGAGCGTTAAGCAAAAATATAAATATCCTCCAAGAGTACTCTCTGTCGTAATACTGATAGATAGTCAAGCAGCTATCAAGGTACTAAACTCACATCAGATAACCTCAAGAATGGTACAAAAATAGCTTGAAAAGCTAAATCTGTTCGGCGAATTAAATCAGGTGACGATGCTCTGGGTACCGGGACATACTGGTGTACACGGAAATGAATATGCAGACAAACTAACCAGGAAAGGAGAGGTCACACTGCTGATGGGGCTTGAACCATTCTGTGGACTAGGACGTAATACCCTCCTCTCATAAAAATGAAGGATAATGAGATAAAAAGGAATACTGGGATAATCGAAAAGGATTAGCACAATCCAAATCATTTATTATCACCTATGACAATAGGAGATATTAAGATTGTATGGACTTATTAAGAGAAAAACTTAGAATCCTAACAAAACGCTATAAACTAAAACACAATATTACGAGACTGGGTATATATATGAATGCAAACTGTAGATACTGTGAAGTGAATAAAGAGGCAGCCATACATGTACTGTTAGAATGCCTTGCGCTAATGTACACACGAAATGGACTCCTGGGAATGTTTATCGTTACTGAAGCGGTAATAAAACTCTGTAAAATAGGTTCTATACTACTTTTTATTGACCCAATAGGTCTTAGAGACTTACTCTAAGCCCACAAGTGCACACAATAGAGCCGACGGTCGTAGTGCCACATCCGCTGTTAATAATAAATAAATAAGTAGTTCCGTAA